TCACTGAAGCCATCAAACTGCAGACAACACAAGTGAATTTCTCTAGTTGGAGGGGATTTTCTCTGGGGTTGAGTAAATTTCTCTGGGATAGAGACAGAATTTTCTTTGTGATGTGTCCAGAGAAATTTGAAATTTTCTCTGTGATGTGTCCAAAAAAATTCTTTGGATCGAACTTTTTCTGAATCGATGTTGAGGGACCTTCGACATTATGAAAATATTGAGTATCTTTTATGTTATAAAATCTTAATATCAGAGACCTTAAAAAATAAAGAAAAATCATGTTGGTTCGAAATCTAATAAGTGGATAAGCGTAAGTGGCTGATTCAATGAGCCCACAATGCTCAGGCAGACCCATCATATTCATAGCATGTCACATTATTATTTTGGCATTAATCGTTATAGATGATGTTAAGTAGTTGGAAAAAAAAGGCTTATTCTTTGAGCTTTTTCAACATTTTTAAGTGAAAAAAGGGCTTCCAAACTAAGAATTTACAGTGGAAAAATAAAAAATAAAAACCTCTACCATTATTAATTTCCAACATCCATAATTTATTAAAAAAAAATGACAAGGAAAAAATTTAAAAATTAGTCTCTAATTTTTTTTTGCAAGTGAACAAGCCAGGAGGATGACATTATTAACTATCGAAGGCCATAGTTGAGAGAGAGAGAGAGAGATTGTCACGTTTATAATAAATAAGATTTAAACTCTTAACTTTACTAAAAGAGTTATGATATATATTCTTTGTTTGACAACAAATTAAAAAATTATATTTTAAAAAAAAATTTGGACTTCAGTGAAGTTTTGTAAAATTTGTGTCAAAATTAAAAAAATAAATTACATTTTTGTTAATAAAATGCAATTTTTTTGACTAATTCAAACAGTTAATGTTAGAAACTCACAAAACTTTTTTTTTATTTAAAAAAAAAACTAAAAATTCATAATTTAAATCTCTAAATTTATTTATTACTTATCCTTATTTTTTCTCTTTTCCTTCACATAATTGTGTCGGTTTGGCGAACAACAAATGCTCTTAACATGAGATTTTTTTAGAGAGAGTCAGATTTTTTAGTAGTCTGACGAAGCTCTTCACAACGTACAAAAGCAAAAGCATTACGGACACTGGGAAGAGGATCTTGAGCCAAGACTTGACTCCAAACCTGGTCCAAACTAGGATTAAGACCAGCCAAAAAATCATATAAACGATCCTTCTCAATCTTCTTTTTTTGGGTGGCAGCATCTGTGGCACACTTCATTGCACTCAAACGAAGGTAGTCCAATTCCTGCCAAATAAGTTAAAGAGCACCATAGTAATCAGCCATAGACTTACCATTCTGGCGTGTCTCATCAGACCGACATCGGAGTTCATACATCTGTGAAGCATCCTTGCCCACAAAATAGGTTTGGGAAACCGCATCCCAAACATCATGAGCAGTAGAGAGACAAAGAAACACAACCCTAACATTAGAGGTCATTGAATTAGGAAGCCAATATTTAACCATGGCATTATCCTCCAACCAAGTAGAGTAAGCAACATCTGTTTCATCGGGTTTAGGTTTTTTTTCCTAGTTAAAATACTGCACTTTTCCTCTTCCTGTGATATACATCTCCACGCTTTGAGACCATGTGGAGTGGAGTAATTTGTCCAAATTGTCTGGGGTGATTTGTAGAGACATGTTGTCCTACTGCATAGTCACAGTAGCCGGAGAACGGGTAGCAACAAAGTTTTCATCACCCATGTTGAGAGTAAATGGGAAGAATAGCAGTAATCGGTAGAAAGATTGCATAGTAGCGGTTGTAAAGCAGTTTCCAGCGATAGTGGCAGCGGCAAACTTTTCAGACCAAATCGGAATTGGTCGGATAATATGTTAGCCTAAAAATCGCTGGAGAAAAAAAAAGAGGAAAAGTTTTAGGATCAATGCTCTGATACCATGCTGGAATATAGCAGATTATTTTATTCTTCTCCAATATAGAGTTATATATAGCTATACAAGGCAATACAAAAAAGGAAAAGATTTACAATTAACTAAAATACAACTAATCTAATTAACAACTACTATGAATAACTAAAAAGGACAACTAATCCCTAGCTGCACACACATCAACAAGTTCTTTAAAAATTCATAAACAACTTTTAAATGTCAAGGTAATTATACAGACCGATCATATGATGAAATTAACATGATTGACTTACACAATTCGAGAGCTTAAGAAGCCTCCATACTCATCTAATATGGCCCGTCTGGCCACACATGGAACAAGTAGGTAGTTCCCTAAGCAGGTAAAGGTCTGGACGACTACTTCCCTTGTGAGCCCCAAAACACCCTAGATTTCAGTTGACTAGATGGTCCTCATGGTGCAATTATTGGTTGAGCCGTCAACCTTGCCCTCCTGTGGTTCTTAGAAGGTCTACCATGACCCCGAGCTGCAAGAGTCACTGAAATAGCTTCCTCCCCACTCTGTTCCATGACTAAGACTGCAATCTCCACATAAGCCGCTGCTTTAACAAGTGCATGATAATTTCTTTGCCAAGCCCCGACAATCCTCCCCCGGATATCATCACATAATCTTCTCTCAAACTCTGAACAACGAAGCTCCTCAGTTTCCACCAACTCTGGAGAAAACCTCGACAAGTTAGTAAACCATGCCTCAAACTGTGCCAAAGGTGCCTTGGCGCAACTCCACAAATTGTTTCCTCATTCTTCCCGTGTGGAAGAAGAAAAAATCATCCTTCCTCACCTTGACATCCTAATCAAGAATAAACACAATAAGTTTAGCACACATCTAGTGGTGCCTCCAACAAAATCTTATTCGCCTCACGACACAGATAACATTAAAAAAAAAAAAACACACACACACACACAAAACAAAATACTCCACATAAGCACTTAGTCATATAATTGCACATGAATTACAATCTCAAGATAGAATTGTTTCCATAAAACTCCAAGAATTCCTATTAGAATGAGCATTGATCAGGTGCCATTCTAATAAGACATCAAGGGATTTAATAGACGCCAATAACATCCTAAAAGTTCAAACTCATACCCATCTACTCACATAAGCATGTTATCATATAACACGTATAACTTGAAACATTCCTTAATTAGTGAAATGCAGCCATTGTGATAAAAATCACTTCCCACGCACTCCAAGTATTCAAACCTGGTAGCTCTGATACCAAGTTCCAATGCTCCAAAACTAATTAGACATCTGAAAACTCTAATGAACTCCTCAATAATCCTTAATCCTCATTAATTATGAATTCTTTACAATTTAATAGTCATTTATGCATAAACAATCCTTATTTTAGAGATGTAAAGTGTCATGACCCGAACCCGCCCCCGTGGGTTAAGGCCATAACCGGCCAGTAATCCTGAGATTACCTACGACCTCAAATCAAACCAACATAACTCATCAGAGTAAAGGGGCTAAACGGAAGCAAAATTTTAAAACTTTGTCCATAGAGCCGTGCTTACATGGCACGCCAAAACAAACTATACAGACATACATTAATAACTCACAACAGAAATACAGTACCATAAAGTTTTGTACAGACAGGATCATCCAAAACTAAGTCAACCCATGAAAACTATATACAGACATATACAAAGACTTCGCCAACATGACAACATGGAACCAAATGACTAAAAGGCGAAGGCAAGTCTCGTGCGTGAGACACCTGTGCTGACTCTCCAAAACTCGATTGTTCCATACAGACTTCACTGGGGCTGGGTCTGGACCTCCCTTGGCTCACCTACAAAGACATGAATGAGCGTGAGCGAAAGCCCAGTGAATAATATATCAAATAAAGAAAATACATTGGAACATTATACATCAGACGGCCTTGGGCCCAATTCATTCATGTTAAACTGGCCTTTGGCCTTTTCAAACTTTCATATCAAACTAGCCTCTCAGGCCTTTCAAACTTTCATTTCAAACTGGCCTTTAGGCCTTTCAAACTTTCATTTCAAACTGCCCTTTCAGGCCTTTCAAACTTTCATGTCAAACTTGTCACGACTCGAACCCGCCCCTATGGGTTAAGGCCATAACCGGCCAGTAATCATGAGATTACCTACGGCCTCAAAGCAAATGAGACAAAACTCATCAAAGTAAAAGGGGTCGAACGGAAGCAATTTAAAACTTTGTCCATAGAGTTGTGCTTACGTGCACGTCATAACATCCCAGACATAAATATATTAATAACTCACAATAAAATTACAGTACCAAAAAGTTCCATACAACAGGATCATCCAAAACTAAGTAAACCCATGGGAACTATATACAGACATGTACAAAGGCTTCGCCAACATGACAAAATTACATAGAATGGGAAAAGGGCGAAGATGTGTATCGTACGTGAGACGCAAAGGCTGACTCTCCAAACCTTAGTTGTTCCACACTGGCTTCACTGGCACGGGGTCTGGACCTCTCTTAGCTCACCTACAAACACATGAATGAGCGTAAGCGATAGCCCAGTGAATAATATCAAATAACGAATATACATTGGAACAATATACATCGAACGGCCTTGGGCCCAATTCACATTTTAGATTAACATCTATATACACAATTTAAGTCGAGTGACTGCGGTTCCAAACAAACTGGCCTTTGGCCCATTTATCTTTCATTCCTTTCAAAACAGCCTCTGGCCCACTCATTTATGTCAAACGGCCTTTGGCCCATCTATTCATGTCAAAACGGCCTTCGGCCCATTCATTCATGTCAAAACGGCCTTCAGCCCATTCATTCATGTCCATCGGCCTTTGGCCCAATCGTTTATGCCAATCGGCCTTCGGCCCACATTTATGTCAAACGGCCTTCGGCCCATATTTATATCAAACTGGCTCATAGGCCTTTCGTATCAAACTGGCTCATAGGCCTTTCGTATCAAACTGGCACTTAAGCTTTTCAAACTTGTCATATCAAACTGGCATTTAAGGCTTTCAAACTTATCGTATCAAACTGGCATTTAAGCCTTTCAAACTTATCGTATCAAACTGTGTCCACCATTCAAAATTAATGAACTTTACAAAACTTACATAGAAGTGAGCAATTGGATAACAACATATTTCAGATATTACTCACAGTGATCAGCTTGTGAATTTGCCCTGGAGCTTGACCCTACACATCACATAGCACATATGGGTCACAAATAATTCAATCCATTCTTTAATTCACATATTCCTCTTTAGGCTTCATTCTTATCTCTTTACTTCAATTACAATGCTCAATGTATGCCTAAGAGTGCTTAGAAATGAAAAGGAACGGAAAAACAGAACACATAATACATTTTCAAAGTTTCAGAAAATAGGGTCCCCGCTCGAGCGTGAACTCGGACGCTTGAGCGTAAGGCCTGTCTATATAGCTCCCCGCTTTCCCTGCTCGAGCGGACACCATGTCTGCAAAAAGTGCTGGGAGCACGTATTTCCCGCTCGAGCGTCAGTTTCCACGCTCGAGCGGACATCAAAATTCTGGGTTTTCCAGAATGAGTTCTTGAGCTCCAATCGACTTTCAACCAATTTTTCTTGGATACTATGGCTCCAATCTTACATATATTTGTACTAACATAGTACTAACACTAGAATACATCAACATGGAGCTTAATTTCAGGAATCAAACACATGCATGGCTCATTTTCCCCCAAACTCATTACCAACATAACAATGTCATGCATTCAACCTTATAATTTGTACATGCATGTGATGATTCTCAACTTAGATAATACAATTGGTGATTACATCATGAGCTTTAACCAAAACCCTACATGAATCATGTATTTCAAGCTCAAACATGCAAATTTAAGATAATTTCTTACATACATGCACAATTTAGCCTTCAATTCAACAAAACCAATTCAATTTCATCATACTCAATTAAATTCATGTTCTTGATCATCAATCAACTCTAAATTTACAAGATTACTCTCACCAAGGAGCTTTAATCTCCACAATCTATGGTTGATTCTTGAGTGTGCCTTCAAGATCACCAAGCTTTGAGGCCAACCTTCAATTTTTCTTCACCCTCTCTCCCTCTAGCCGACTCCCCCCTCTTCTTAGTGTTTATGATCAGCCAAATAAAGCCAAGGGAGAGAAATTGGGTGTGCAGTGCTCATGTTAAAGGCCCCTCTTCTTATAATATTATTTAATATCAAATAATAGAGCACTAACTCGCTAATTTAATCAATTTAATCTGACCCGAATCAATTTCCAATTAAATTCCACCGTAGGTTCTAAAAATTACACTAATCACAATGGCGTAATCAATTTCGGGTTCTGTGGCCGATAAGGCCCTCAATTTAATCTCCAAAGCGGAGAAATCAAACAGATATTCCTACGGTGAACAGATAGAAATTCAAAACCACATGTTTTCCTCTTTTCCCAGACCTATACCAGCTACTCTTGGGTCTCCCACTTCACAGCACGTCTCATTAACTACTGACACAGCTAGTGAACTGCCGCTGCTGCCAGAATTCATGCCTCTATTACATGAAGTTCTCACTGTGCTTAGTGTTTTTGTTAGACCTCTTTTAGTTACCATATAATGGGTGTTCTATCAAGCTTCTGGTTGCTTTTGTTGTGGATTTGAGTTCTTTTCTTCCAGAATTCAAACCTTTCTCACCAAGCTTGGTACTTTTGTCAGATATCTTTCTAATTACCATGTAATGTCGTGTTCTTCTATCAGGCTTCTTGCTGCTATAAGACTTTGATTATTACTATTTTTTGGTTTAACTATCAGACTTGATTGTTATTATTTTTGTTATTAATAACATGTCGTTTGTATCTATTGGTGACTTAACAGATGTAATATTTCTCGCTTCCTTCTCTTTTCAGTTTATATGCAGTTTTGTCAATTATATTGTATAAATTGTGGAGAATTGGTCTTGATCATTACTTTTGTCAATTATATTGTATATGGTTGGGGGTGCGAATGTTGTAATGATGGTTCTTGTGAAGACAATTTCTATTTAGATGCTTTTGCCTTTGATCCCACCACTGATCCAGAGGAGGGTTTGTTGGTCCCTGTTCGTGATATTCCCAGATTGTCAGGTTACAAGCCTAGACCTATTGTGGTCACACGAGGGAAAAATTTACATTCTTTCCAGACATGCATACTATTCATTCATTCCTGTTTGAACTTGATCTCGAGGCGCCCTTTTTTAAGGTTTTTGATCCCAAATGAGATAGAATGTGGGAAATCCTCCCTAATCCTCTCAGCTTCGGTAAAACTGGTGGTGAAACTATCCTCGACTACTTTGCTTGGGGACACAGGCTCAGAGTTTATACCCAGGCTGGTTTTTACTTGTTTGATGGAGTTCTTAAGGAAGTTTTGGGGGTGAGAGGATGCTAGTTTTGTGCTTTCTCTCTCCAGAGTTGGAACTGAATTTGAGGGGGGCTTTTGCATTGCCTGCCATGTCAGCAAAAGGGGATGAGCTCACTACTTATGATTTTGAGGACGCCAATGGTTTCCTCAAGTCTCATTGGCTACTAAGTAACCTTTCTATTATGTTCAATCCTCTGCTCAAGCATTATATAGGCTTGCTTTGTCACCCATCTCTATGATCGCCTTATGTGTTTCCTGTATGGTAGCGAAGAGGAGCTCTTCTCAAGCGAGAGGTTTTGTATACGTGCAACAGTCTTTCAGGTTTCCAAAACCGTTGGTGTTGGTGGCAAACCGTTCCTCTCTGACGAAATTGAGCATCTGCAAGCATATGATTTGGAAAATTGGAATTGTGCTTATCGAGTAATCGAGTCCGTCATCATGTAAGCAAATGAAGAAATCCTTTTTTTATATGACAGAATATCTTATAAATTAACGTAAAAAATTAATATCCCAAAAATATGGGAAGAAAATTAAGAAAAATCACTTTGCTTGTATATGGCGTTGAAATGCTGTAGTCAAACTCAATTCCGTAGATGATAGGATGATTTCTGTATGCAATAAGCTAAAATTTTTAAGGAAGTCTATCCTGATGTAGCAAGTCAAGTAACTCAACAAGTTAGTTCAGTGAAAATTTGCCAATAGAGAAAAACATTTTGGAAAGCTACCATTTGAGGAAGCTTAGGTAGAGTCCAATGTTTTGTATCACAGTGCACATGTTTGTTCATGTGGGTCCTTCAGTCACACTGTTCAATTTTTCGCCAATATTCAACTGCCTTAGGTCCACATTGGACAAGAGGTTTCGCTTTCACAGGATGGGTAAAATTAGCTCTGGCATGCCAATAATGACTAAGATGTCATGACTAGGAAACTCAAGGTCGATATTGCTAATTTGTCAATAATGACTCAGATGACAAACAAATTTGGGAGAAATTTAAATAAAGGAGTACTTTTCTCCAATTTCCAAATATCTGAATGAGTTTGATTGCATATGCCAAGTACTTGGAATAAATTGCTAAGGCATCGATAATAGTTTGAGTTAAATTACGAACGTAACATCTCTAGAGTTAGGCTTCAAAAAGCCATGTGTGTGTTCACAGCCCAAATATATTAATTACATATCATTAAAATAACACAAGCCTGTGAGCTAACTCATCTTATAAGTCCGTATGCAAACTAGTCTGGTTTACATGCCAGTCTCCAAAATAATGGCAACTTAAAAAGGGTAAATACAATTAAGCATGGGTATACATGTAGAACTCTGTAAAAGATTTGAATATATGGCATGGCCACCGAGCTGTATGCTGTCGGTGTTGGAGTACCTGTAATTGTAAGGGACAAGCAAAGATAAAAGCTCACTAAATAATCATCCAAGACATTGGAAATGAGTAGCCAATATATTAAATGATAATAAGGATGATGCCATATTACATAATTATCTTAAAATTCACATACAAGGATCAATTGCTCAAATATTATGAAATTCAAGGTAAAATCGATACCACCCAAAAATCAATGAAACATCTCGATAACCTAGACAGACCCTGTTGAGTCTAACTAGAACACAATTGTGTCTTTAACCTAGGAAACTAGTCCCTAATCCCGTATTTATGGTTTGCTAGACCAAGACACTATGGGAAAGCCAACCCCCATGTGGGTTATAGGGGTTGTCACCGATGGTATGATGCGGCACCAATCCTTACCCCAATGCACACAACTAACCAAACAGTGGAACATTGGTGCATCTGTATTATTTACCACAAAAGTGGCCTAAGGAATTCCATTGTTAGGTTATCTTCGGGACGTTCAAGTTTCATGTCCTTATTTTGAACATTGGTGCATTTGACTTATTTATCACTAATAAATGGACTTTCTATTGTTAGGTTGGCTTCCTATTATTTGTTATGCTGTAGAATTTACTTGTAGATTGGAGAATCTGAAAAAAGGATTCCAGCACATACAATTTTTGTAAAGATTTGGTTACACGTAGGGTTTAATATCTTAAATCATAAATGTGGTGCATTTTAGTGGACTAATCAATTGGTCAAACTAAGTGTCCAGTCTCCAATCTTGACTGCAGGAAGTTGGCGGGCATCAATGTAGCAGTTGTGCCTTTTAAAGCTTTTGGTAAATGTATTTGGACCCTTTATTCTATTTTGGGAACCTTTGGTGTTGTTGTAATTTAGTTTTAGAGGAGTACAAATTGATTTAAACTTGTTGGGTTTGGTTGTTCGCACTTATTCTTGTCAAAAGTTCCTTGGAGACTTAGAAATTCCATTCTAGGATCAACACCAGCCTTCCTAGGGTCGACCCTTACCTGTTGATGAAGTTCTGGAAGTGTTGCTGGAACATAGGGTAGACACCAAACTGGGAGAGGGTCGACCCTCTTCTGTCTGTGTGTTGGTTGCTGGAACATAGGGTAGACACCAGACTGGGAGAGGGTTGACCCTCTTCTGTCTGTGTGTTGGTTGTTGGTAGATAGGGTAGACACCAGTCTGGGGTGGTGTCGACACCTGTAGTGCAGTCAAAGCTTTCCCAGATTTTTTATTCTCTTTGGTGTCGACACCACTGTTGTAGGGGTCGACACCTGCGACTTTTTCCCAGATTTTTCTCACGGTTTGGACCTCTTTTTGGGGATATTTTGATTAGATATTTTGAGTTGACTTTGGGGCTTATATCTATTTTTGACCTAGTACTATATAAAGGCCCTCACTTGACCTTTTCTCTCACTTTTTCTTTCCTTTCCTCTCTCTAAACCGTGAAACACCTTCTCTCTCTCTCTCTCTCTCTCTCTCTCTCAAAAGACACTTTTTACTCAAAGATCCTTAGATCTACTTGTTTGAAGACCTCTACTCACCTTGCTCCTTTGAGATAAAGTGTAGAGCTTGTAGAGGGCTTCATTTTGATCGGAGCAAAGTTTGGTTTCTCCTCCGTCGACTTTTGGGTTTTTCTTCCTTTTTCCTCTTCTAAGCTTGAGGTAGGGATAAACTACTCCTTGTTATGAGTTTTAACATAGATGTTAGCCATTTTGTATAAATGGTGGGTTGTAATGATTTTGGAAAGTTAGGGTTTTATTTGAGGTTATGAAAAGGGGGTTTTCAAAATGTTAAATCCCATGTGTATGTGAGATCTTGGAAACATGGTATTATTGTTGTTTAATTGGTGAAATTGAACCTTTGGGTCAATGTTGAAAAAGGGGAAAAATACCATAGTTGGGTATAGTTGGGTCATTTGTCTAAATAATGACATTTATTATGAGATAATGAAATTGGTTTGGAAATAATGAGAATTGAGAAGTTATGACAATAAATGGTGGAGTTAGATTGATTAATCACTCACCTTGAAATTGTTGATAATTTACCTGTTGATGCATTTATTATCTGTTTAGAAATAATTGCTTTGGGCTATCGGTGGATGCTAGTCTTGATTGTTGTAGACATTGCATGATGATTAGGTGAATTAAAACTAATCAATTGAATATGTCATTGAACATAATGGATGGAATAACATATTGAATATGTGTTTTGCTTGATCATTGTATATGATAATTGTTTATATACTTGGTATTGTTTGGGAGGAGATAGGGGATGTACTCCACGGTTTGGAAGGAGATATGGGATGGACTCCTAGACCGGATATTATTATTTGGGAGAAGATAAGGGATGGACTCTATTGCTACAACAAATATGTGTATCTATTGAAGTATGGAAGTGTTTTAATATTAGTTGTTATCTCATTTGAAATGGATGTATTGTTGATATGATTCGTTATCTCATTTGAAATGGAAGTTTTGTTGATATGAGTTGTAATCTCAATAAATTGTTTGGCCAGGTTCTGAGCCATGTTTATGAATTGAAAATTGGTTAAGCAAAGGAAAGTAAAATGAACATGGACATATTTGTCATGGAATTGGATTGTGTTGTAAATTGGTTGACTAGTGTTAACATTTATCGAATGCTCATGTTTTAGTTATTGCTCATATTATGTTTAGCATATCTCTACTGGGCGTTGGCTGACCCTATATGGGACATCATTTTCAGGTGCAGGTGATATGCCGCCTCCAAGGTCTTAGCTTGGGAGGTTGTAGAAGTTGAAGGCTTATCTTTTTGTGATTATCTTTCGCATTACATGTATATCAAGCCAAGGGCTTATTTTGTGTAAAGAGTTAGTACTCTACTTTTGTTGAACCTAAGTGTTGACTTGGAAAGTTGTAAGCCTATAGGGCATTTACTTTTGTTGTCAACATGTAATATCTCTTGTAAGAATACTCTGATGAATGGGAATGTACTTTATTCTCTGAAGTTTATGGATGTTATGAATGTATGATTTATGTATTATTTTGAGGGCGTTACAATCAATTAAGAAGTATAATTCCCTATGAAAAAATGCAAGGAAAGACCCGATTCCCGCCTATCAACCTCAGCAAATGCATGAGTAGCTTTGTTTAGTTTTGGTTGTCAATTCTCAATCAGAATAGAGTAGTTTATCTTTATTTTCACTACTACTACTAGTAAATTAGCAATGCTATGCCCCAAATGAAAGGGGTGTGTAGAATTTTGGTAACTTACATTGCTGTAAAGAACACTTGTGATGAGCAGCATCCCAGCGTGGTCAAGATAAGCATCTATGAGAGCAGCCTCCACTAACCCCATGATCCCTACCTTCAATGTTCATAATTGCAACAACATGCTTGAGCTTTAACTTCCAAATGTGAGTCAAGAAGGTCACCAAGTTATCCAAGACATACACGGCCATACTATTGTTGTAAATCAGAGCTGCAATATAGACATTCTTGTTTTTAGCACAAAGATTCAGATCTTATTTTATAATAACATGAAGTGTTAAATATTCAATTCAATTTGATTACATTGACAAAGTAGGGAATCAGCATAATTTCCCTTTTCTAGGTTAAAACCAACATAGAAAAATCCAGGGAAGTTACTATCAAATGTACTTTTACAGCATAATTTGAGAAACATATAACAGGTAGGCAACCAATCTTGTACATTGAAATAAAATAGTTTTGGATAAATTACACGGACCTTCCGTAATAATTGGCAAAACTATATTTGAATAATTTGACATACACCACTGTAGACGCTCCCGAACGCCGCGGGAGGGAATCCCGTTCTATTCATCTGGGCTCACTACAGTTCGGACTCTCAAATTGTCACGGTTCTTAATCTGAACCAAAGAGTCCAAATCCAGCAAATCGTTTTGGAAAACAGATTTTTGTAAAGAAGTGTCAAACATGGACTGCTTTGCCAGATACAGAGTCGCCACCTAAATATTTTATTTTGGGGGAATTTAGGAAACCCTGACTCGTTTGCCTAAGGCCACGTGTCTGTAATCACCAGAGTTGCCTCAGCTCGGGAACTTAGGTACGATTGGGGAAGGTCAGCTATGAGCACCCCCTTTCGCCCGATCTGAAGATCGGCCTCTACTGACCATGATATCTTGTTTTGAAAACATTATGTGCTCTTATTTCGGTTATTAGCCTAGATTTACTACGTGATGCGCACAACATACAAGTATAGACTGGATTGCCTGAATTGGAACAAAACAACTCATGTTTGTTTCGAAAATGGTTTGCTACTCGCAAGTAGGCTAAAATGCAGGTTTTGCCACCCTCGGGTGGGCTTAGAAAATATGGTTTTGCCACTATCTAGTGGGCTTAAAACTCACAATCAATGCATTATTCCAATTCAGATAATCCAACTTTCACCCACAGGCATTCAGGCAGATATATCACATAAGCATATAGCCTCATGGTAAGCATGCTAATATGGAAACACTCACACACATGCAAGATGCTAAAGCATAAGAGCTTACCTAGTACTCCAAGCCAAAATAGAAACTAGTTAGTAATCAAATGCATGATCCTAGTTCATGTTAAGATGGCTAATGCAACACATACAGAATGCAACTAGAATAGGCTCGGCTAATCTAAGAATGGCATGTGAAATGCTATAACTCGATACACGTATTCAAGTTGGAATGGAAATACTATGCAGTTAGTATGATGAGCCGAGCCTGGTGCATGCATTACGAATGAATGTATGCAAACATGCACAGCATAAGGTATGCTAAATTAAACATGCCCTAGTACTAACCATCAAAAGCAGGTAAGTAAAAGGGAGAAAGAAGTGGGGTTGGAAGACATACACACACTCACGCACACTTAATACACAATTGCCCTCACTCGGAGGGGCCGAATAAATAATACAGATTTAACTAGTTAACTAGCTGACTAACTAATTAATTAATTACAAAACTTCTAATTGATCAACAAATTAATTACAAAAGGAAGGTGGCCGCAGCCCCACCTCGGAATGATGGGATGATGCATGCTCAATTTGCTGCGCCCAGAAACCCGGTACCATGCTACTGTTGCCTCTGTTTACACTGTCTTGCTCCTCTGAAAGATATGAAAGTTTCCAGAACTACTTTGAACTTCCTCCTGAGTGTTTTGGATTTCCACCGGCCAAGGAATAAGATCACCGGCCATGGGAATATGCTCATCGGCTAAATATTGGGCCATCGGTTGGACATTGATGGTCGATCGGCACTACAAATGGCCGGTTGGCTATTTCTTCCTGCAGAATCCTATAGTTGGCAGCAGCAGAGGGCAAGCAGTGTATGGCATGGAATTTTCAAGCAAATGTGAGCATGGCCACACTCCCTATCATGCAATGGACTCAAGGGAGCGTGGCTCTCGACCCTCGGGCCATCAATTATGCATTTTGATGCATGATGGCCTAAGAGGCCAAGTTTGCCATTCAATGTAAATGCATGCACAAAAGAAATGAATGCCTCATGCACTATCATGTTGAGGTCAAGGGCATTGGCGATCGAGGAGTGAGACGTGTTTCGTCACTTTAAGTACGAACACGCCTCATTCCTTGAGTTTGGTTTGACACCCCAAACCAAACAAGATGCAATGCATGTATGCCATATACAATGCAAAGTGATGCAACTCATGCAAGGCAATATGAGCATGCTAAGCTAATGCAACATGACACTACTTACTCATGCAAGCTAAACTAATGCAATATGAACATGTCAAGCATACAACAAGACTATGTGATGCACTCAACTAAACAACATGCAAATATGCAAACAAGATATACTGGAAGCATGCAACTAATGTAATGCAACATGCATCATGCTAAGCATGCAACTATATACAAGGGTGGTCTTAAACTGAAATGGGAGGCCTCAGCCATGCCCCAAAACAGTGGCCAACGATGGTGCAAAAGAGCACCAATTATGCATGCAAACATGCACACAACAAGGTTAATCATCTAAGCATGGAAGGGGACAACTCTAGGCATACTTGAAGGCGATATACATGGACGTTAAACACTCATGTTAAACTCTGAAAAGCATGCGAAGAATGATGCCAAAACATGCTAGGGAATGGGTGCGAAATAGAAGGCATTCAAGGCCACAAAAGAGAGCGTTGCCCAACACCTATCCCAAGCAAACATGGTATAGACTACGCTACCAAAAACAGAGTTACAATGCACCAAAACAAGTCCCAAAACCCACTGTTATGGTAGCTCGAATGACTCAAACACATAGGCATGCACGAAAGCCTAAACATGGAGCATGAGACCACATCTCTTCAAGGCATTGAAAGGAGAACAAATGTAAGCATGTAAGCACAAAACATGGACTGAAATGACATAATAAGTGATTCCAAATCACTGAAATAGCCAAGGTAATGCATGCTAATGACTCACACACCCGATGCCGACATGCTAGAATGCAAAGGGACTATACAAAGCATGAAAGTTATGACCGAATCAATACCTAATAGACCTCAAGCATTATGAAACATTACCAAAAGCTTCACAAAGCTAGGCAAAAACATGAGAGCATGGTAGGCTAAATGCATGATGCACTTCTAGGCAAAATAAGGGAATCCAAAGCAAGTATATTAAGCATGCAAGGGGCCATTAATCCAACCAAAAAACAGAGATATAATATGACCAAATAACACCCAAAAACCTCTGAAATGAAGCCAAAAGCAACTAAGCATACATGCTACCCTTATGAGCCAAAAATGCAAACAAAAGAGAGACAAAGGGAGAGGGGTGTCCCTCCCCTATGCAAGACTTCAAGACCCCTTCTTCACCACTAAAAATCCTCGGGATTTCAGTGGTGGAAGGCCAATACACAAAAGGATTCAAAGCTCAACAAAGAAGGTACAAAAGGGCCAAACAAGGCCTAAGAGGGGGAGGCCGACCCCCAACACCAAAGTGACCTTAATGAAGTATCTTAAGCATGCCAATACAAGACTTTTTTCAGTTATACACAAAGCTTAAATCAGTATGCAAGATAGGTTAAAGACTAGTGCAAGATTGGGAAAGATAAAGCAAAAGTATTACCCTTGAAGAACACTTCAGGAACAGCAAGTGCAGCCACCTTCTTCTGATCAAAACCAGCTCAAAACTTGAAGAACAAACCTTCAACAACTCCAAAGTCTACGTATGGTGTAATACTATGTGTTGTAGTGCAAAACTAAGAACAAACTACACTTTTAGGCCCTCAAACACACACAAATCAAGAGAGAGAGGGAGATATAGAGAGAGAGGGTGATATATATCAGAGATATATGTAATTAGGTCTGGTTTTGTTGAACCCCTTCAAATGAGGAGGAAGCTCTCCTTAAATAGACAACACAAAGTGTTAAGCTTCCAAGAGAAGCTAACAAAGGGGTCAAGGCTTCCTAAAGAAGCCAAGGCAAAGGGGCCAAGGTTTCCTTAGGAACCTGGGATAGGTATCCAAGCTTCTTGAGGAAGCTAAGACAAAGGTCCAAGCTTCCCCAAGAAGCTAGACCAAATGGGTGCAAATTCCTCCATACACGTGTATGGAGGACAGGTCCGTGCACTCCAGCTGGCACAGCTGGCATGCATAATGCCTGAAAAAGGCAAAAAGGAGGTATCGCCCAAAAAAATAGACAACTGCCAAATTAATGGTCGGCCGACCACACAAAAAGGCCGATACACCTAGAAGAAGTGCCGACCGACCAAACATTTGGTCGGTAGAAAAAGAGCAAGGCCGGTGGCATCATGCCAGGGCCGGTGGGTTTCAGGGATGGATAACAAGCTTCTTCTCACCCCCAGAAGTACAAAACACAAGTCCTTGGTGAAAAACCAAGCACAGAACAGGCAAGTCAATAGATCCTGAGGCAAGGTGTGCGGTCGAGGCCTCCGGGAACTCAAAACGAACACGAACATGGATGATCATCGAGCGTTCGAATGGTGACGTCTAAGACTTGAGGACGGTAAAAAATGGGGTGTGTACAGTTGCCCCTCTTTGACAGAACTCGAAAGTCATAACAATGACGGGAGTGAATGTCAAAGCCCGGAGATGACCCATTTTTGACAAGGCCGAAGACTTAGACAAAGCATACAAGCTACAGTTAAAGATATGCGCCTGAAGGCAGGGGCAAAATGCAACTGACAATGCAAGAAGCCGAGCATAACTTATGATCATGCAAAGAAAGCTGTAACGAAGCATAACAATGCAACAGTTTTAAGCAAGTAGAAACCAAGCTACATTATAATACCGAAAGGGTGTAAGAGAATTACTGCAATTCTCACTGCGAATCCAGTGTGCATGTGTGATAGATACACAAAGCGAACATGTGATA